ATTCCACGCGAGAGGAGTTGCAAAGTTATATTACATGTCCTATCCTTAAAGTGGTAGGCCTAGTGATAAAGAAATCAATTGTCTTTCCTTAGGTCACGAGTTCGATTTTAATCGGGGACAAATCTTTGAACGGCTTATTATGCTTAGTTGCAACATTTTCATGTGATTTAAGATTTTCTAATTACTAGCATATTGGTGGGGTTATAATGATGAGTTCGCTAATTCAAGATGTATAGGTTTTGGGCGGCACGGAGTAATTTTGACTCAATACAAACATTTCATAAGAGGTGTGAGATTAGCAACGGCTAAAGAGGGCCATCGCATTTGAAGAAGTCACATCATAATTTCGTAGAGGCAAAAAATGACGAGATCCTAGGGTCATCACTACGAGGTAATAGTTATAGTTTTCAAAGACCGTGACATTGATTTTATTTCCACCGAAAAGTGTTAATAAAAGAAAAAAGACACTGCCTTTGTAAATTATGAGGTTAGCCAATTAATAAACACCATTGCATGATAAAATAATGACCCAATTACATTAAATAGCACAAACTTTATGTCGAGTCTCAATTCTGATTCGAACTTTCTTCGTTTCATAAAAATTCACCACCAATCACTCCGTAACCAAATATGCCTCTGTTAACTTTTTTTTCCAGTGTTCTCGATAAAAAAGAAAAAACTTTTTGTCTAGTGTTGTCGTTAAAGATCCCCGTGTCATCGATAGGAGTGGAATTTCAGCTTAATTAGATATCGTTATTAGCAAAACCTTATATTTTCCTTTTTCTTTTTCTTTTTTCTTCCTTGCAACCTCCATTAATGGATTTGTTCGAGCTCAAATCTGGGTCAACGCTCTAAAGCCGCAACGTTAAGGTACAACCTCGTTCTACTTATCAACAACTGGAGGGAGTTCAGCTTCACTTGTAACATCTATTACATATAATCTCCACTTTGCTCAGATTCCTTTAAAGGCAACAATGGCACGAATATTTGAGCTCACATCACGAAGTGGCACGTGGCGAGAGACGCACACGTGGAATTGAAACATGAACCTTTAAAGGCAATAATGAACGGGATGTTAATTGAGGCAGATTTAACTATGTAGTGATGGTTGGTTTTTTTTTATGAGATAAATGAAAGTTTGGACCAAAAGTGGGGCTTGACTTATATTTTTTATGCTTTTTAAGGGAATTTGGCTCTAAAAAACATTGCTGGACAAATAAACTTATAAAAAAGACAAGTCAATAACTCCACGAGTTTTTCAGACCTCGGAGGAGATAGAAACAGAATTGCCTATGAAGTATAATAAAATGAGTTTCATGTTATGATAGCATGTGAACCTAGCTCATGAATAATTTTTTTCCTCACAAAAAGATGGTGCTTCGTTATGAACTCCATCTATTAGAGCGAAAAGTACTTCCACAGGTACCGTTCATTCCAGAACTTTAGGGCTACAAAGTTACTTCTCACTGAAAATGAACTACTAGTCCCTATAATATGTTGTAATTATGGGTTAATAGCTCAATAAAAATGAGCAAATCATGTCTTTTCAGATCATTTTCTATCATAGTTTTCTTTGTCTTTAATAGACATGTCCAAAAGAATATGTCTCTTCGAATCATTTTCTGCAGCAGTCATCTTTTTTTTGTCTTTAATAGACATGTCCGAAAGAACATGTCTCTTGAGATCATGCCCTTCAATTTCTATAAATCGAAATCAACTATTCTTCATTAAACAAAAGTATATACAACGTTTTTGTGCTTAGAAAAGTGTTTCAATCTCTCTGTGTTCAAAGTCAGAAAAAGAATCTCTTCTCTTCAATTTTCTCTTTGGTTTAATCTCTAAGTGTGTCAATTCAAGGAAAAATTCTATTGAGTCCTATTTGCATAGTGCTAATAAAAACAGGTTCAAGGTGTTGTATCTTGGGAGGCATAGTTCGTAAATCTGCAAATCACCGTTGACATGAACTAATCATCTTAAGGAGATTCAGTAATCTGTACCTCACCTCTTGCCTAATTTTGTTATAATTTTATAGCAATTTTGCAAGTCTATATTTGGTCTGTATTTTAGTCCTCTTTACTTGTTAAGAAAATTCATTCAATCTATTTATTCATTGACTTAGCCATTTTTTTTAAAATTTGTTATCGGTTTCTTAGAGTTATTATTTCAGTTTAATTTTACTGGTTACAACAAACAGTATTATATTACGTTTCCTACATAATATATATTTCCTCATCCTACTAATAAAAAAATGAGAAATTTCTTTTATTGAATTATCTATTACTACAATATGATATGATTAGGATTGGCAATTTTATATGATCAAAGAAACAAGAGTACGAAAAGATATACTAGGAGTTCTTGGTGTCCCGTCACCTCTTTGATGTGATGAGAAATTTTTTTAATAAAGGATAGTAATTTTACCAAGCTAATACTTAAAAGTTTAGAGCTTGAAATTATTATAAAAGCCAAACGTCTTTTCTTTGTCTGGCGTTCCATTTACATTTCACTTTCTATGTCTTCCTGTTTCAACTCTTAGGTATCTCTTCTTCATCCAAATTTCCATGTGAGAGGAGCTGTAAAGTTATCTCACAGGACCAATCATTGAGGTGGTTGGTCTAGTGATAAAAAGATCGGCTGTCTTTCAATAGGTCATGAATTCAATTCAAATTGTGAACAAATCTCTAAATAGCTTGTTATGCCTAGTTGCAACATACCTCACATGGAAATGGAAAGACTTTCTAACTACCAGTTAGGGATGTCAAAAAAGCCCGCCGGCCCGGCTCGACCTATCCTAAATTTTGGGTATTTTGGGTCGGGCCTTAGTCCACTAGGGGTAATGTTTTCAAGTATGGGTTTTATCAGGTCAGGGTAGGGTCAGGCCGGGCCCATGCGGGCTTTTTTGACATCAATAAGGCCAGAAGTAACACGAATAGATTTTCTAGAGTCGGAGCCCGTGCTGGCTTTTTAAATTATTTTCATTGACTTTTTGACTTGATAAAAAGTTAGTTCTCTTCTTCTATTTTCGTCCAGCTACTGCTTACCCATCACCAAAACGAAGGAAGGAGAGATTAGGGTTTCGTCGGAGCAGTAGCAACAGCAGCGAGGAAATCATTGCCTTTTCGTTGATGCCACCACCATCCCCTGCCTTCTACCTCACGAGGAAGCCCCTCAACCTCAGACCCACAATCCCTATGCGATGCACCGCGTCCGCAGTGGTCCCGACGCAATCGCCGAAGCCGTTCGATCTGAAGACGTACTGGACGACCCTAATCGCGGAGACCAACTAGAAGTTGGACGAGGCAATCCCGATTCAGTTGCCGAAACAGATCTACGAGGCCATGAGGTACTCCGGCTTAGGTGAGGGTGCCAAGAGCGCGCCGCCCATGATATGCGTCATGGCCTATGAGCTCTTCAGCGGCAACCGCCTCGCCGCGTTCCCCTCTGCCTTTGTGATTGTCCATGTTTTGGTGGGGATTGTTGATAAGTCGTGGATCTAAGAATGGTGGATTGTGGGATTATTTATGGGTTGAGCAGGCGTTTTTGGTTCTGTGTTCAAGCATGGGTTTGACACCCATTTCCCAAAAAAAAAAAAAAAACACAATCCGCAACCCACGAAACCGGATCCGGACTTACCCAACCCAACCCTTCTCTTGGTTGATATGCTAAACAGGGTCTTAGGTCGGGGCACGGCGGGTCAAGCGCAACCCTCTAGGTTTTGGGTCGGGGCGGGTATCATCAAAGCCCGACTTGACCGTCGCCCATCGACACCCCTACTACCAGCATTTCGGTGGGGTGACGGGATACTAACTCCAGACATTCTAGTCAAGAGCATCGTGAAGTAATTATGGTTCAATACCAACATTTCATAAGAGTGCGAGATTACGGCTCCGCTGCATTTGAAGAAATCATATTGTAATAACATAGAGGCAAGTGACGACATGCTAGGGTCATCACTTTGAGGTAATAGTTATAGTTTTCAAAGACCATGACATTGACTTTATTTCCATCGAAAAAGAGTAAACTAAAGAAAAAAGACACTGCCTTCATAATCAATGGCGTTAGCCAATTAATAAGCACCATTGTATGCTAAAAAAATGGCAAAATTCCCTTAAAAAGTAAAAATTTAAGTTGGTCCCAAGTTTGGCTCTAACTTTTTTTGTCTTATTAAAAGTTCATATCTTTTGCTCCGTATCCAAATATGGCCCACATTAACTTTTGGCCTAATGTTGCTGTTAAAGGTCACATGTACATCTCTCTCCCTCCACGTGTCATTGATCATGTGGATTTTCAGCTTAGTTAGATGTTTTTGAGAAAAAAGAACTTATTTTTTTTATTTCCTTATTTTCTTTTTCTTCTTCTTCGTTCCTTACAACCTCCACGCAAGAGGAGTTGATTGAGGTGGTTGGCATAGTGATAAAGAGGTCAGTTGTCTTTCATTAAGTCACTCGTGCCATTCAAATCATGAACAAATCTCTGGATGGCTTGTTATGTATAGTTTCAACATGTCTCGTGGTAAGAGATTTTCTATTGGCTAGTATCTCAATGGGGTTACGGTGACAAACTCGTCAACCTAGACATTCAGATTACGAGCAGTGCGACATAATTATGACTCAATACGATCATTCTATAAGATATGCGAGATTGGTAACAGCTAGAGAGAGCCTCTTGCTCCTTCTTGCTCTTTATTTTATTATATAAAAGTTAGCATTCTCATATGGCCTATTTATTAGTTTTCTTTCTATCCTAGTGTTGGTCCTCTCCAACCAAATCAATGTCGCACGAAATCAATGCAGGTCCTCTCTCTCTCTCTGGTCTTTTTTAAATTTCTATCCGAACCAATCAGTTAATTTCCGACGTGTGCCCGAAAGGTGCATTCCCCTGATCAGGTAGCTTTCCAACCTACAAAACCATGATTCATGCTTTGGAGGAGCAAACTGCATTGCAAACATCCTCCATTTCTTCTAATTAGTAGCATACATATTCACAAATTCACACTTAAAATGGAGCGAAGGTTGCTGGAAGCAGGTCAAAAGGGCAATATCGATGAGCTGTATGCCTTGATCAGAAGCAGTGGGCTCATCATCCTCGAGGCGATGGCTCTCGAAGGAGCCGGTCACACGCTGCTGCACGTCGCTTGTCTGGCCGGCCATTTGGATTTCGTCCGAGAGCTCCTGAAGTTGATGCCGAGGTTCGCTGAAAAAGTGAACGTGGATGGGTTCAGTCCGTTGCACATCGCGGCAGCTCGAGGTGATGTTGAGATCGCGAGGGAGCTCTTGAGAGTGGGTCAACACCTGTGCTCTGTGAAGGTACGGGAGAGAAGAATCCCCTTGCATTATGCAGTCGTAAACGGGGAGCTCCATGTCACGAAGTTACTGCTCTCCGCTTGGCCTGAATCCATCGAAGAGACAACCGCCCGAGAGGAGACCGCGCTTCACCTCGCCGTGAAGAACAACCGGTTTGAGGCGGTTGTTGTGTTGGTGGAGCATCTGAAGCAGAATAACAAGGAGCCGGTGATCAATTGGAAGGACCACGAAGGCAATACCGTCTTGCATCTCGCCACCGCCGTAAAAAATTTCGAGGTTAGTCACGCCATTGCTTTTCTTTTATCGCACCTTTTTTCACATTATTTCAGTGAGGGTGTTAATTTGGTATACAGTATGCAAAAAACTTCTGAGCAAAGTAATTCATTGAATCGGGTCTGTTTTGATCATCACTGGAATAAATGATGTCTCGTCCATGCTAAAAATTTCTGTATTATCTTAATGTTGGAGAATCAATGAGAACAAAAGAAAGATGGTAAATTGCTGGTGGTTAAATTCATGCTTCGCGGGCATGGTCAGGAGTACGAGGCTGTGGAGGTGAACGCCTTGAACGAGAGTGGCTTGACGCCTCTGGATGTCATGACGGTATCGCAAAGGGGAGCAGGAGATAGAGAGATCAGAGAAATTCTCGCCCAAACTGGAGCCAGGCACGGAAGAGGAAGATCAAACTCGCCCGCTTCAAGACTAGTCTCGGCGGACAAAGACGGTATCCAGGGAGATAACAGTCATCAATCAGATGGGGAACCAGTCCCAAATACTCCTCAATCAATAGTCTGTACACAATCGAAAAAATTAAAAGAAGGAAAAGATTCGGTGGCCGACATACGCAACGCCCTGCTGGTAGTCGCCGCGCTCATCGCAAGCGCGACCTACCAAGCCGTGCTTCAGCCTCCAAGCTATAAGATAAAAGTAGATGACAATCACAAGAAAGGCATTTTCGAGCATAATAATACTTACAGGGCCATTGGGTACATCCTTTTCATGAGCAGCAACACATTCGGATTCTTGGTGTCGGTCCAGACGATCATTTGCCTCACCAGAGATCTCCCTGTCAGGCTGCCGCTGCTACTCTCCACGCACTCAATGGTTCTAACTTACGTTGCCTTCATGGCAAACGTGCCGTTCACGTCGATGGACAAAGCGTTAAGTATGAAAAACGAGGCATTGTTCAACCTGCTGCCATTAACGATATCAATTCTTCTTCTACTGACACAGAGGTGGTTGGCGCGATTTTTGGACCCTGCCTTGAAAGTTCTTTCTCAGTGCAACATCGTAGGCGATATGTACAATCTAAGGGCAAAACCTGATTCGCAAAGTACCGGAAGGTGGGACTGGCTGTGGAATGGTCCCAATTGATCTGGAAAGGAGGTATTAGCAAGCATAACTTCATCGGCTGGCTAGTTTGTAGAGATAGACTACAAACAGCAGAAATCATATCACGTTGGAAGCCTGAAGTAGATATTCATAGCAATTTTTGTATGTCTAGTCTGGAAAGCAGAGACCATCTATACTTCCAGTGCACCTGGACTGGAAGCATTTGGCGCACTATTCTTGCACAATACGGAATTCGACGCCCTGTAGAAGGATGGAATGATGAACTTAAATGGATGATCAAGACTACAAAAGGTAAGGACTTGGCGGCGAGACTTCTGAAGGTATCTTTCCTAGTGATCATATACTGCATTTGGATGGAGTGTAATCGTAGACGCTTCCAACAAAAGTCAAATGATGCCCTTATCATTTTGGCTAAAGTTCGCAAATTTGTCAGAGGGCGAGCTTCGCACTACAAATCTTTTAGACCGTCCCGAACAAATGAAACTTTGGCTACTATATGGAGACTCCCCCACTCCATTTTATCTGTAATGCTGGGGAATGCCCCTAAGCTTCTGTACGTCATCTTATAAATACTACTTACATTTACACCAAAAAAAAAAAAGGTGGGATTCCGATAAGAGTAAACACAGTCCATCAATCGAAGAAAGTTGATGCCGATTATGTTGGTACGTAAATAAGCATTGGAATTGTTAATGATTACATTTCTCTTTCCGAGCTAAGAAATGCAAGCCTTTAACCCGAAGTGTCAACGGTTCAATTCGGGTTCGATTTTCATGAATCCCGACCCGACTTGGACCGCCATGGAAATACACTTGGCCTGATCTGAACTGGGACCCAAAACTCATATAACCTGAATCATTGGGTTGGAATGGTTCGGTTCGGATTTTTTATCTTTTTTTAGGAACATGGAAAAGGGAAAAAGAAAACACATACTTCCTTCAGGTCTTCCATCTCCTTCCTATCCCAAGTCACGCTCACATAACTGTGAAGTTCGTTTTCTCGTTATCTCCTTCTCTGGACGTATAACATTCAGACACATAGCCTTTCGACGCTACTCAAAAGCTGCTCTAATCGATTCTCCTTATTCTTCTTCCACCCTGCATTTCATTCAGCTCCGTGTCGAAGGTCAATCTCTGAAACTGACCCCACAGTTCCACGCTCGAGTTCTCATCAATGGCTTCGCTCAGATCACTTATCTGGGAACCAAACTCATGTCTGCATATGCCGCCTCTAAGAGCCTGCGGGATTCAAAATTGGTTTTTGAACAGAAAACTACAAATGCCCGAATGCAAACCTCAGAAGAATAGCCAAATCACGATGGTCTTCAGAAGGAAATAAAAAAGAAACATTGCGCACAACCTGTTGTTGAATGAAGGACTCCAATTCCTTAAGCCAAGCTAACAAACATCATATTGAAGAAAGACCGCCTCTCTCTCTACTTTCAGGATGTAGCCGCTGCTTCCAGAATTTGCTATAGAAAAATCAACAATCCAGTAGGGAAGTTGAAGAGAGGCTCCAGTTTTCTCTCAAGCCGCCATCTCTAGACGTTTCTAAAGAAACGTCAGCCACAACTTGCCGACTAGCTGAGGAGACTCCACCCACTTCATCACCCTATAATAGGAGCAAGTGCTCCTTCTGTGCGTGCGTAGAAAAGCAAGAGTGAAGCGAAGACTTGGTGAGAGCACTGTGTGAGAGTAAGTCTCCAAGCGTGGAAAAGAAAGAGTTCTACGTGTGAAGTCCACAAACAAAATAGCGAGGGAGTGGTGTGAGTGTTATTATTGTAAAATCGACCCGGAAACTGACAGCATCTTATAATTAAATCCACACGAAATCACTAGAGAAATAAATGATAAACAATAAATGATACAAAAAATTTACATAGTTCGATCCAAATATCGATATCTACGTCTATTGGAAGAGTTAACAGGAAATTATCCATAAAGTTATAATCGCTCGTGTACGAGTATTTTCCACATTTCAATTACACACAAATTTAAAATATTTACAAATAAATAACTTTATCGGATGTAAAACTCACAACACAAGAAAATCACCGTATGTTCGGCTCCCCTCTTTGTGCCACCGAAAAACACTTCATTGGGCGGCTAAAAACAACAGGTCAAATAAACCCTTCTCTTTATAGCCCATCAACAGTAGCGTCACTTTCTTGGTTGATCAATCTGGGAAATTTACATATTTGCCACCACTCCAAAGCAAAAATAGATTAAAAAAAAAAAACAACCCTTATCTTGGTTGGACTCCAACAGTAGGACTCCAATAAATATTCAGTAAATAATTCCAATCCACATCATCCAATTTATATCGGGTTTCATACATGGATTCAAACTCGAGACATAATCTAACCGTGCTTATAACAATAAAAGAAGTGTGTTTATTTTTTAGTTGGAATTTCTACTTGAGTCCAATAAGTGGTATCAAAGCAAGACAGTCGGGGATTGTGAACCTAGCGATTGAGATTGTGGTACGCGATAACAGTGGTCGGGGACCATTGTACGTAAGCAAGCGGTCAGGGATCGGAGTACGTCAAAATTCTACCGGTGCACATTCAGGGATTGTGATAAGTTGGTTTGTGACCAAGCTCACTTGGTGTAGTGCCAGGCATTATAGTTCACCATGAAAGAAAACACAAAAAAAGAAGAAGATGAATAAGCATTGCATCATAAATAATTTAATGGAAAGTCATTAGGTTACATGTAAAGTCTTAGGATTTAATTTGCTGTTTTCATAAAATATAACATTTCATATAGTTTGTGTCATAGGATTAATCTATGGTTGAATCTCATGGAGCATTCATGTCATATTGTTAGCTTTAAGAATTAATTTCATAGCATTGCATATAGTTAATTCATTATAGCATGCATAACATTTAGGATTTCATGTCAGTTCATCAATGCATGTTAGATTAGTGCACATAATCATAGTATTAATTGAGTCATGTCCATGTTACTTTTAGGGAGTTCATTTCATAAACAAGAAAACCCAAAAAGAATCATTCACATTGCATCTTAGTTATCTCACATAACTCACGTCATGCATTATTCTTTTTTTATGAGCTCCCTAAATCTAACAGCTCATGTGAAGCGGACTAACAAAGCCCGAAATTACCTAATAATTTTTCACCCCACCAGACGCCCCCAAACACCACCAATCAACGTTAACATCCCTCAGCCTCTCCCCTTGTCAATCTCTCGGTCACTCGCATATCTCGCCTCTCCCAAGCCACTGTCACCCGGGGTCCATCAGCCCGCTCTGCAGCATCGGCTCAATCTCCTTGAGTTCTTTTTTCCATCGCTAAAGAAGCGATAGCTGCAGAATCCACTCCATTATTTGATCTTGGGTCCCTCTACGTTTGCACAGTGGAGCAACTGGGACTTCACTATTTTCTTTTGGACCGATTGTAGATCTTCATCACCAGATCTAAGAACAACGAACGCAAATCTCTGCTAAGGCTCAGTTTCAAATGCTGTGGAGTAGCAGATTTTCGGACTTGGCCAGGACCAAACCGAATAGGCCCCGTCTACTTTGGCTTGATCTGAAATGTTTTCTTATCGTTTGGGCTAGTGTATCGAGCCTAGAGTGAGCAGGCCTGATGTGTTCAGGCCAGGCTTCGATTTTAACAAAAGCATAACCTGTGCGCGTCCCTACTACACATAATGTAGATGAATATCATCTAAATTATTATTGTGCGAGTGCTATCATGGACTTTATACGATTAGACGGCCCAAATGGGCTTGCTGTACAAGGTATACAGTGACTCTTCAATTATTGAAAAAGTAATGACTATGATGTAATAGTCATAGTCTACAAAGACCATGACATTAGCTTCCGCCGACGGAAGAGAGAGATACTCTGCCCTCTTAAGACAAAACAAAACGATATGGAAAAGTACTTCACTAACATAGGTGCCGTTCATCCCAGAACTCTAGGACGATAAAATTTCCCTTCATTAAAAATGAACTACGGAAGTCCCTATAATGTATATTTCCTCATTCTACTAAGAAAAAAAATGAGAAATTTCTTGTACCGAATTTTCTGTTATGTAGCCGGTGACATGGACTGGCGCGGACGGCTAAGAAAGCGGAGCGGGAGGCCCGGAGGTGTTTTCTTTTCAAACAAAAAAATACCCCTTTCCATGGCGCGAGGAATGGCACGTGACACGCACGCGGTTGTCGTCCAACAAAGATCTGTGTCGCCGGTGAGATTGGGAGGGTTCAATCGAGACGAAATCACCAATTACAAAGCTTACTTTGAGGCAAACACCGATCTTGGAGGTGCTTTGAGAAAAATGCCCTACTTCGGGATGGTTTTCGAGATTTTCTCGCTTTTTAATTTATGATGTATTTAAAAAGGTTAATACCACAAAAAAACTCCGAACCGGTACACATGTGACAAATTTATCCCAAATTAATTTTTTGACAACAAAAAACTCCAAATTGGTACACCTGTGACAAATTTACCATCAGTTTGTTTCCGTTAAATTTTACTGTCAAATTACTTTGTTAAATGACGCGCGGCAGTTAACTGATGTACTAGTTTTATGTTTTACCCTCCGTTTGTCACAGGTGTACTAGTTTATAATTTTTTGTGGTATTGATCCAATTTAATGGAAACTAACGGAGGATAAATTTGTCACAAATGTATCTGTTTGGGGTTTTTAATGGTCAAAATATTAGTTTGAGGTAAATTTATCATAGGTGTACCGGTTTGGGGTTTTTGATGGTCAAAAAATTAGTCTGTAGTAAATTTATTATACGTATACCAGTTTGAAATTTTTCGTGATATTAACCCTATTTAAAAAGCCATTTTATGACCAGAAAACAAACCTTTGGCCACAAACCAATGTCACTCGAATCCAATGCCGGTTTTCCTTTAATACGTAGTCCTACTCCGTGCTTGATATTGTCAGTATTTTTATTTTGACATGTAAAGATATGTGCGGATCCTCGGCAAATGGAACTACTGTGGGACAAGAAAAAAGGAATCTTATCGAATGGTTGGGGTCGTCAAAAGTGGTCATGCGCGTACAACTTTAGTGTTGCTAGTCTTATTTCAACATGTGCTTGTGACAGATATTTGCTTCAATTTGCATGGTTGACAGTTTATCTCATTATTTTTAATTACGCCAAGACTCCACCAATGAGCTTCAAGAAAATTGCGGTTCAGAAAATATCTGGGAAACTCTGTAAAGTGGATCATTAATTTAACCTTTGTCCAAGTCCAAAGGTGTCCCAAGAAGAGAGAGACCATCATTAGTTCCGATCAAAATGGAGCGAAGGTTGTTAGAAGCAGCGCAAAAGGGCAACATCGATGAGCTGAATGACTTGATCAGAAGCAATGCGCTGGTCCTCAAGGAGATGGCTCTCGAAGGAGCCGGTCACACGCCACTGCACGTCGCTTGTGTGGCCGGCCATGTGGATGTTGTCCGAGAGCTCCTGAAGTTGATGCCGAAGTTTGTGGAAAAAGTGAACGCCGTTGGTTTCAGCCCGCTGCACATCGCGGCGGCTCAAGGTGATGTTGAGGTCGTGAGGGAGCTCTTGAGAGTAGGTCGTCACCTGTGCTCTGTGAAGGGACGGGAGAGAAGAATCCCTTTGCATTATGCAGTCATGAACGGGGAGCTCCATGTCATGAAGTTACTGCTCTCCGCTTGGCCTGAATCCACCGAAGAGACAACCGCCAGAGAGGAGACCGCGCTTCACCTCGCCGTGAAGAACAACCGGTTTGAGGCGGTCGTTGTGTTGGTGGAGCATCTGAAGCACAACAAGAAGGAGCAGGTGATCAATTGGAAGGACCACAAAGGCAACACGGCTTTGCATCTCGCTGCCGCCGGCAAAAATTTCGAGGCAAGTCCCATCATTCCCTTATTTTATGGCACTTTTCTTTGTGCATTATTTCAGCGATGCTGTTAATTTGGTGTCCCTAGTGATAAATGTAAAGCGAAAAATAAAGTTGTGGAATTTTCTACATATTCAATTGAACTATACATGAGCCTTTCTATGGGCTTTACAAAATGACTATCTATAGCAACATATTATTACAATAGAAATTACAATTAATCATAATAACGAGATTATGATATGAGAGATATTCGGAATTAGACAATATATTTCTAACATCCCCCTCAAACTCAAGATGACATGGAATAGGTCAACTGGAGTTTGGAAAAAAGATCTTGAAAACGCCCTGGTGGATGTGCCTTAGTGAATACATTAGCAATTTAATTAACCGATGAAGTGGAAACAAGACGAACGATGCCTTGAAGCACGTGAGAACGTATAATACAGAAATCTATCTCAATATGCTTAGTGCGCTTATGGAAAACATCGTTATGTGCTATTTGATAGCACTTCAATTGTTACAATAAAGTACTGTTCCACCATTTGATGGACGCTCATGTCCTCTAATAGCATCGCAACCATAATAATTTGGTCGTCGTATTAGCAAGAGTACGATATCCAGCTTCCGTACCAGATCGAGCGACAATAGTTTGTTTATTTGCTATGCCATGAGATAAGTGAGTTACCCAGAAAGAAGCAATAGCCGGTGGTGGAGCGACGATCAAGAGGGTCTCCAGCCTAGTTAGCATCAGAGTAAGCCATCAACTCCAAGGTAGATTGAGCAGAAAAGTGAAAACCGTGAAATAAGGTGCCCTTAACATAGCGAAGAATGCGAAGAACAGCAGCAAAATGAGTGGTTCGCGGTGCGTGGGTATATTCTACTACTTTTATATGTGGATGATATGATTATCACTTGCGATGACAAAACTCCAGCAGTATCTCAGTCAACAGTTTGAAATGAAAGATCTCAGCAAACTCGGTTATTTTCTAGGCTTGGAGGTTACTTCAAATTCCTCTGGCTGTTATCTTTCTCAAGCTAAATATGTCATTGATCTTCTTTCTTGAGAGGGACTCACTAATAACAAGACCGCTACGACTCCTATCAAAACTAATGCCAAATTTAATGATAAATATTGGATTCTTCTTTCGAATCTTACTCTCTATCAATAGTTAGTTGGCAGTCTTGTATACCTCATTGTGACTCGCCCTAATATAGCCTACACCGTTCACATTGTTAGTCAGTTCCTGATGTTGGTTTAACAAATAGAGCATTGTCATAGGGATTGGATTTAAATCCAAGACATTCCATGGTAGAGCTGAACTTAGAGTACCACACACGAAGAGCCTACTTCAGCCCATATAATGCTTGATGTAATCAACACACTTTGTCAGAAGTAGTGTATCCAGGAGGAGGTTCCACATATACTTCCCTAGTAAGATCGCCATTGAGAAAAGCATTTTTAACATCCATCTGGAATAAAAGCCATTGCTTAGTAGAGGCGACAATAAGAAGGCTTCTAACATACGTAAGACGTGCAACTGGAGCAAACGTCTCATCATAATAAATCCCATACTCCTGAGTAAAACTTTTTGCTACTAGTCAAGCTTTGTAGCGTTCCACCGTACAATCTTCCTTTGTTTCAATCTTATATACCCATTTACAATCTATAGCAGACTTTCCATGAGGCAAATCAACCAAATCATAAGTATGAGATTTATCTGACGCTTGCATCTCATCCACCATTGCTTGCTATTGGAAAAGATATGCTTTTTCGAATTGTAGAAGAAAAGAAACTTCAATATCAAATGGGATGAACAACGAAGTCAGACTTTGAAGCGTGATATCACTTTCTTTAAGAAATTATTTGCCCCACGAAGTTGTTAATGGTCACTGGCAAATTTCCTTCAAGATACAACAGAGTCTCGACTGAGAATACCGAATAGTAATTTCGTTATATCCCCGGGGTCTCTCTAGGAAAACAATTAGAAAGAATGGCTGCTGTTTTCTGAATGAAAAAAGTGTCTAAAAATCTGAATGAAGAAACTTAATATTCAACCATGTAAAAATTGACTTACTAATCACACCATTTTGAACAAAGATGTCCCTTCATTGAAAAGATATATAGTGAATTGGTACGAAATCAAAAGTTGCGTTGAAAAAAGATATATGAAAATTCGGAATAAAATAATAAAAAATAAAAGAATAATATTTTTTAATCATTTTTATTAATATGAATTTTATAAATTCTAAAAAATAATCTTTGAGCAAATACAATCTTTCAACGTTGAAGGAGTTATGTCCAAAAAGATATAACCTTCCAAAGGTGAAGTAGTTATGTTCGAAGGGACGCAATTCTTTCAAATGTTGTAAGAACGCCTAATAACCATTAGGCTAAATAATAAATTTCGAAATTAATTAATAAAAAATAACCGCAACTCTATTGCGAACAGTCACACTGTTTCAATAAGCTAAATCGTTATTTTATAATAATAAATTCGAAATTTAATAAATAAAAATAATAAACGAGGATTAGTGCTAATTATCATCCGCGAGCGCGCTAAGTGCGTCTAATAATCGTGCACCTGCATGCAGGTATTGAGAAGTCTAATCTACACCCTATTGTCTTCACTTTAACAAGGGAGAAGACACCCACACATATAAAGTGACTCACATTCTCAAAACTTTCTTATGTGGGACAAAGGAAAAATGCATTATTTTATTTGTTTTACAAACAAACAACCAACACTTGCTACCAAAGAGGATTAGTACGAGCTTCCTTATATGTACGAGGCTCATGGAAAGAAGCAATAGTAGAGTAACAATAAAAATCACGAAGTCGAACAAAAGGTTGACTTACACAAGTGGAACAACAAACAAGAGAAGAAGGTATCACTAAGGGTGGAGGATCCGCGGATGACACAGACATGTCAAGTGTAACGCCCCGGGTCCGCCACTGTACACATTTTATCCACTTTGGTCCCCACTGGGCCCTCGCGGTTTTGTTCATCTAGGCTTCGCCGAGAAAACATGTATGTACATATAGAGAACCTCGAACTTTATAAGCCAATTCAAGACTCCCACCAAAGCGATGTGGGACAAGAGAGGCTCCCCCCTTCCCTTTTTTAACACGTCCAAGGACAAGGTGCGGATGCACCACCATCCCTCCTCCCCGCGCACCACCACTTAGGCCGTCACACTCTCCACCCCTTATGGGCATAGTGCCTTCGCTGTGGCCCCACACGGTGTCGGGAACCTGACTCTGATACCACCTATAACGCTCCGGGTTCGTCACTATACACATATTGTTCGCTTTGGGCCCCACTGGGCTCTCACAGTTTTGTTCCTCTAGGCTTCGCCCAGAAAACGCGTATGTACAGATAGAAACCCCGAACCTTATAAAATAGTCTAGGACTCCCCCTAGGCGATGTGGGACAAGATAGGCTCCCCCCTTCCCTGCGCACGTCCTAGGATCAAGGCGCGGACGCACCGCCATCCCTCCTCCCCGCGCACCGCCGCGTAGACCGTCACATCAAGAGCTGCAGAAATGGGATCGCCAGATGTACCTGCATCAAGATTAGGAGAGGACAACTCCGACGAGGAAGATGCAAGTGTGTCATCTTCAAGAAATAGTTCCACCGAAGGATTGGTAAAGAAGTAAACGGTTGGAGATGTCTCAAAAGAACGGAGAGATGAGAACATCCTGTGTTCCCAAAAAGTAACATGACGAGACACACGTAAACGATTAGAGACCGGATCCCAACATCTATACCATTTGTGCTCAATGCCATACCCAAGGAAGCAACATAAGCGAGTATGAGGTTCTAACTTCGTGCTTTCATTAGGGAGTTGATGCACAAAACAAGCACTGCCAAAAGCTCGAAGAAAATTGTAATTTGGGACACTGCTACATAAGCGCTTGTAAGGAGATATATTACCTATGATAGGTGACAAAATACGATTGATGATGTATAAGGCAGTATGACAAGCTTCTCCTCAAAACTGTTCTGGACAGGAGGCTAAGATGATAAGATTGTGTGCAACATCTAAAATATGTCATGGTGGTGTTGGGTTGCTGGAATAGGAAACGTAAATTATCGTAATAGCACTGACAAGTTTCGGGAGTCAGTGAGTCCGAGAGGTGGCGGCACGTGGTGGAGCGTGAGGGCTCGTACGGCAGCCAACGGTGACGAAATTTCAGAGTATGGCTGTTTTGAGGTTGTTGAGTCTAATGGTGGTGTCGATTTTGTGAAAGAAGCAACAGGAAGTTGTTGTACAGCACTCAACAGTGATGGGTTTTACCAAATACGGACACCTGGCGGCTAACTATTTGTTGTTGTTACTATCACCTTGTAATAGACTCAATGGGCGCTCCTCAATCTAGAATGGGCAAAAAGTACACCACAAGTGCTATAACTTGTGTGCGGCGATCACTTTGGTGCTATAACTTTTTCGGATCACTTTGGTGCAAGTCGGAGAAAAAGAGATCACTTTAGTACCAATTTGACCGAAATCCGACGTGGCATTTTTTATTAATTTTTGACGCGCGACGTGGCTCAGGAGCTGAGTCGGCGTGTACAATCAAGCATTTTTAATTTTAAATAATTTTTTTTAGCGTGTCTGATCAGCATTTTTAATTTTAAATATTTTTTTTCCTTTTTTTCTTCTTTCCTTTTTCTTTTCTTTTCTTTTTCTTCTTTCTCCCTCGCGGCGGTTGCCGATGGCCGGCCGGCCACCGCGAAGCCCGGGAAGGGCTGGGCGAGGGCGGCCTTGCCCATGGCCGGCGAGGGGCGGCCGACCCTCGCCGATGTTGGGCGAGGCAGCCTCGCCCGAGACGGGCGAGGCGCCCTCGCCCGACGCCGGCGTGGCGACCCTCGCAGTCCGGCGAGGGCGACCCTCGCCGGCCCAGGCGAGGGCTTCCTTCGCTCGCCGGCGAGGGTCGCCCTCGCCAAATCCGGGCGAGGCGACCCTCGCCGGCGAGGGTCGGCCGCCCTCGCCGGCCATGGGCAAGGCCGCCGCCCAACCCTTCCGGGCTTCGTCGGTGGCCGGCCGGCCACCGGCGAGGGGAAAAAGAAAAAAAGAAAAGAAAAGAAAATGAAAAAAAAAAAATATTTAAAATTAAAAATGCTGACTGTACACGCTAAAAAATTATTTAAAATTAAAAATGTTGATCGTACACGCCGACTCAGCCTCCGGCGAGCCACGCCGGCGTCAAAAATTAATAAAAAAATGCCACGTCGGATTTCCGGCCAAATTGGCACCAAAGTGATCTTTTTTCCTCCGACTTGGCACCAAAGTTATCCGAAAAAAAGTTATGGTACCAAAGTGATCGCCGTACACAAGTTATGGCACTTATAGTGTACTTTGGCCATCTAGAATGGCTCTCATATCATAATAAATGTAAAGCGGAAAAAAAATTTGTGGAATTTTCTGTATATTCAATTGGACTATACATGAGCTTATTTATAAGCTTTACAGAATAGCTATCTATAATACATAATATTACAGTAGAAATTATAATAAATCAAAATAACGAAATTATGATTATGAGAGATACTTATAATCAGAATAACGAGATTATGAAATTAAAGATATTCAGAATCAGACAATATATTTCTAACACCTAAAATATGCAAAAATCTTCTAAGCAAAGGAATTTATTGAATCAGGGTCTGTTTTGATCATCACTGGAACGAAGGATGTCTCGTCTACGCCCAAAATTTTTTCTGTATTATCTTGATGTTTCAAAATTAACGACAACAAAACAAAGATGGAAAAAAATTGCAGGTGGTTGACTTCATGCTTTGTGGACATGCTCTGGAGTTCGGGATCGTGGAGGTGAACGCCTTGAACAAGAGTGGCTCAACCCCTCTCGATGTCTCATCTCGCTCTGATCGAGAGATTAGAGAAATCCTCATGCGAGCCGGAGCCAAACACGGACAATCAAACTTGCCCTCGTCTCAAATAGTCCGGGTGGACGGCGACGGAGATAATATCGAAGGAGCTACCAGCTATCAATCAGTTGTGAAACGTGCAGTTGAAAATGATCATCCGCCATTATCACTATCAAAAGATTCGAACCAAGGACGAAGGTCGTCGGGCGATATACGCAGCGACTTGCTGGTTGTAGCTGTGCTCATAGCAAGCGCGACCTACCAAGCCGTGCTCCAGCCTCCAACCTTTCTTAAAAAAGTCGAAATGGATACCAAGCAAGGCTTCCTTGCATCATACTCATATTTCCTGACAAGTACCACAGGGAGGAATTTGGCTCTATTGTCCTTCCTGAGCAGCAACACGTTTGGATTCTTGCTTTCTGTTCAGACGATCATTGGTCTCACGAAAGATCGTCCGCTGAAGTTGCCGCTGATGCTCTCCACGTTCGCGATGGTTTGGACTTACCTTAGCTGCATGGTGAACGTGCCGTCCAGGTCATTACTGGATGAAAACTTCAGTCTCCTAGGAGCAGCATTGATAGGCACACTGGCGATCCTGATACCAGTTGTTCTTCTGTTGATACAGATTAAAATAGCACGATATTTAGGTAAGGGGATAGAATTTCTTTCCCAGATTAACATCCTATGTCCTGTGGATCCTCTCCCCCCAAAGTCTGGGCAAACAAATCCAAACAGTATGCAGCGCCCGAACAGTTGTTGACAACGCCATGTGTCGATCTGATACCCTTGGTTCTGTCCAGTCGATTGTGTAATGTGCACGGATGATTCGCCCTAATCTTGTTTTTCTTATTGAATGTGTCCTGACCTTATAGCACATTTGTATTTTATTTTCTTAAGGGAAAGGTTATGTTGCTCCCAGGCAGCAGTGCTAATATTGCTCCTCAACTCTGATTTATGTGTTTCATGAGAGTTAACAGTAGGATTATACTAGAGATAGATTCAAAAGATCTGTGACTAATCCCATGAAGGAATCAAAGTGTAGATGCTGTAATTTTAAAGTTCCCATGATCAAGCAATTTCCAAATTATAAAACCACGATTCGTGCTTAGAGGAGGACCAGCTCCATGTTGTGCACATTCATCATTATTAGTTCGAATTAGCAGCAGCAGTACAGATATTCGTATACTCGCTCAAATGGACCCGAGGTTTTTAAAGTAGCTCAGATAGGCAATGTCGATGAACTGAATGACTTGATCAGAAGCAATGCACTCATCCTAGAGGAGACTGTTAAATAAACACGGAAAAATAAATACAGAACACAAGAATTTACGCGGTTCGATTACAAGGTGATCTACGTCCACGGGCGAGGCAAAACAAGATTCCACTATAATCAAAGAGAGTACAATTTTCAGAAGTCGAAAAAACGACTTAACAAAATCTCACGGCTTACAAATTTCTCCTAAAACGAAAATCTCTCTTAATCAATGAAAAAACCTAGCCATAGTATAAATAGGGCTCCCCAAAAAATTTCCACTGGGGCTACGCCCCCGCCTCCAAAACATTTGTTCGCTTTCTCCAGCTTGGGCGGACCACCATAAAGATTTGTTCGCTTGCTCCGAGTTGGGTCTCTATTTTTTCTCCACTTTTGGGTCGCACAAAAAATATGTCGGGTCGGGTGATGAACTGAACTGAGTACATAAATTTCAAGACATATTTAACAGAGACAGATCCTCGAAGGAGCTGGCCAAACCCCGTCGCATTTGCCCCATGTTGCAGGCCATTTGAATTTTGTCCCAAAGCTCCTTAAGTGGATGCCGAAGCCAGGGAAGAAACGAGCAATGATCGTGACCCATGAGTGATGCCAAAGCTGTGATAACACCATTATATTCAGGTCTTAGGTTGTGAGCAATGATCCTCATCCTCGTTGTTGTGATAGGATCTCCAGGATCCATCTCCATGGTTTCTCCACAAAGATCTTCGACCTCTGCAAAATCCGGTCTCAATCCTACATGGCGTAGATCCTCTCTCTTCCACAAAAGTGGAGTAACTCTTGGGGCCCAAACCCATTTGAGAGGCTCCTCAAAATAAACCATCTCCCATCACCTCTTCTATCCTATGTGGGATACTTTCATCCACACTTTTCATTCAATTCTATGGGATTTGGAAGCCAAAATCCCAACACTTTCCGCTTCACTTGAGTCCATCGAAGAGACTACTGCCCGAGAGGAGACGGCGCTCCACCTCTCCATGAAGAACAATCGGTTCAACGCGTTCGTTGTGCTGGTGGAGCATCTGAAGCAGCATAACAAGGAGCAGGTGATCAATTGGAAGGACAAGAAGGGCGATGCCATCTTGCACCTCGCCGCCACTGCCAAAAATTTCGAGGCACGCAATCTCTGGCACCTTTCCCTTTTTCCTTGTCAATTTTCTTCGCTTGTTCTTTTAGTATGATCTGAATGTCTGAACATCAAAGAGGACAAAACAAAACAAACAAAAGTAAAACAAATTGCAGGTGGTTGACTTCATGCTTAGTGGGCATGCTGTAAAGCGCGAGGTCATGGAGGTGAACGCCTTGAACGACGGTGGCTCAACCCCTCTGGATGTCTCATCTCGCTCTGATCGAGAGATCAAAGAAATACTCATGCGAGCCGGAGCCAAACATGGGCAATCAAACTTGGCCTCTTCACAAATAGTCCTGGTGGACGACGACGAAAATGATCATCCACAATTATCACCACGAAAAGATTCGAACCAAGGAAGAGAGTTGTCGGGCGACACACGCAGCAACCTGCTGGTCGTAGCCACGCTCATCACCAGCGCAACCTACCAACTCGTGCTTCAGCCTCCAACCTTCTTTAAAAAAGTCAAAATTCCTAAGAAGAAAGGCTTCCTTACAGCATTATTATCTTTCAAGGAAAGTACCTTCACGACGAATTTTGTTTTATTTCTCTTCCTGAGCTCCAACACGTTCGGATTCTTGTTGTCTGTTTACGTGATCAAAAATCTTCCAGTGAAGGTGCCGCTGTTGCTCTCCACGATCATGATGGTTGTTACTTACCTTAACTTAACTGCACGATGAACGTGCCATCCATCTCGTTACTGGAAGAACATTACAGTCCTCTAGGCGACGTAGTGATACGCACACGGCGGATCCTGATAACAGTTGCCCTTCTATTATGGACAGTCTGGATGCAGAAAAAAATAGAACCATTTGAGGTATCTACAAAAGAATTATTTTCCTATATCGCGTGTTGTGGAAAGCCCACAAAAAGTAGGTCTCGTCGTTAAAGATATCTCTCTACACTTAAGGGTTGTACAAATAATTCGAGCTGTACGCAGCGTCGGAATTGAGTTTGTCAATAACGCCAGGTGTCCATCCGATACCCTTGGTTCCCTCCCGTTGATTGTGTAATGTCGGCGGATGCCTTATCTTATTTGTTCTATTGAACGTGTCCTGAGCTTATAGAACATATATTTTTTTTATTTTGATATGGAAAGTGTTACGCTGCTGTCAAGCAGCTATGTTAATGCTGCTCCCCAAGAGGCAGCACTCCTTTTTATTGCCCATTACCAAAATAACCCCAGTGCAATAGACGGGGCACGATGATCAAATATAAAAATAAATCTTGACCCCGGTGTATTTGTTTCATTATATTTAATGTTGGTATCGTACTTAGTTTTTTTTTATCGCTTTATAAAACAATTATCACTTTAAGAAACAAAAAATTGAAAACACTCCTATTTTATATTACTGAGTTTATAGCAATAGCAACTGAATTGGGAAACTGTAGTATAATTATCACTTTAAGGAACACGAATAATGTTACCAATTCACATAATTTGACTTTTCAATGAAATGGGAAGGAAAAAAAAAACTCAATGAAAGATTGGCCTTGCCTATCTCCTTGTTATAATTAGCCATATCCATGATATCACTGAATGAATTCTTTGTTGTATCAATCCTCTAGTAATTTATATTACTGAGTTTATAGCAATGGCAATTGAATTGGGAAACTGTAGTATGATCTTACCAGTGAGACAACATGTTGTTTCATTAATTGTCGCTAATATAGTAATTATGACATGGTTATAGGTGACAAAGCAAATTATAATCTTTTCTTAAATGAATGAAATGAATTAAAATTGATTTTTTACAATGAATTTCAAGGTTAAATAGGTAAATTTTATTTTGAAATTCACAAAAAAAAAAGTAAGAAAGGTTGAGTGTTGACTTTAGAGCAACTAATACCTTAAGATAATCGAAAGTAACTTCGAATACTATATGGACGAACAATCCAAAATTTATTTAGCATCTAACGGTGGAAGATTTACTTTATGTCGTTTCCAAAGTCCTTGATTTCGTCCTCCAATCTTATTTAGAAACTGAAATGTATGGACGTAAGCGAGCGCGATGGCTCAGCCAGCAACTGCTACTCACTTCCTTCTTATGGGACCAAGCATGCTCAAAACAATTTACTAGAAAGCCCGTAAGCCATGGAAAGTTCACAAGAGTCTTATCATAAGTAATAAGCTTAATTGAAGAAATAAACATTGAAAGCTACTAAAAATAGCTGATCTCAGTATAAGGTATTCAAAACAAAGATTCACAAGTAATAAGATTCATCAGCGTGATTAATCGGAGTTTAGAACGATTTTCAAAACAAATATTCAAAAGTTTTGAAAATTCAAAATCTTATGGCTCGGTCTTGATTCTACATCTGTAATTTTCGCTATGAGAAGGCCCAAATAAGTTTGACCTACATCAATCGGTGGCGAGAAAATTACCAAAACAGTCCTAAACCTATTATAATTGTGCCCATTCAGTTATAAACTTTTTTTATGCCAATTCAGTCATAAACCTTTTGCATTTGTGCTAATTTAGTCCATCCGGTTAATTTTGGCCAGCTGGCACTAACGTGGATGCCAGCCGTCCAGCCAATCCTAACATGGTAGTTTTTTAAATTTTTTTTTTTTGAACTTTTTTATTGATTTTTTCATTTTTTCTTTTCTTTTCTTTTTCCTTTCCTTTTCTTTTTCCCTTTCTTTTTTTTTTTCCTTCATCTTCATCCTCCGACAACCAGCCAGAGGCCGGGGCCGGCAAGGTCGACCCCGCCAGTTGTTGGCGAGGCTCAACCTCGTCGTTGCTGGGCGAGGCTCAACCTCGCCATTGCCATGCGAGGCCGACCCTGGCGAGGTTCGACCTTGCCGTTGCCGGGCGAAGCCGACCTCGCCAGCGACGGTGAGGATGATCCCTCGCCAGATCTGGCGAGGTTGGCCAAGCTCGGCAACGGCAAGGTCTAGCCTCGCCAGGGGCGAGGTCGAACCTTGCCAGATCTAGCGAGGTCGGCCTCGCCCACCGACGGCGAGGCCGAGCCTCACCAACCCCTGCCTCAGGCCGAGCCTCACCAACCCCTGCCTCAGGCCGGTCGCCGAAGGATGAAGATGAAGGAAAAAAAAGTAAGGGAAAAAGAAACGAAAATAAAAAAATCAATAAAAAAATTAGAAAAAATAAAAATAATATTAAAAAATTGGTAACATTGGCCAGACGGTTGGCGTAAGTGCCGGTCAGCCAAAATTGGCCGGATGAACTGAATTTGCACAAATGCAAAAGGTTTAGGACTGAATTGGCAAAAAAAAAAAAAGTTTAGGACTGAATTGGCACAATTGAAATAGGTTAAAAACTATTTTGATAATTTTCCCACCGGTGGCTCGACTCATAATTTGCCCTATGACACGGCCCCAAACAAGTTCGATCCATATTGACCAGTGGCTTCG